AAAAATTGTCAATTAATCTTTTGAAAGGAAAAAGAAGGGGGAAAAAAAAAACTAATATTACACTAAAAAAATTTTATTTTTTAAAATTACGAATGAACGACAAACTATTCGATGGATGCGTCAAATAGGTTCACTGATATTTCCTCATTTTTCATTAATAATTAAATAATTAACAAATCTGTACTATTTTTTTTTCCTTTAAAATACTCCTACAAATACATTGAGGTAAATGAGAAATGATTACATGAATTAATTTCATCGGAATAAAAAAAAATTAGAAAAATAAAAGATGGAGCAAATTTTTGATAAGCAAATATTGTCGTCTCTTTCTTTCCTCTTTTTTCTTTCTCTTTTTTTTTTTTATTTGAATAACACTTAGAAATGCAAAATCGAATATTCTGATCAAATTTAACAAAAAAAAAAAGACTTCTTTTCAGAAAATGAAATCTTTTGAAAGAACAACAAAAAAGGATTAACAACATTCAATGATACATTAAAATTTTATTAACCGAAAAAATTTCTCAAATTATGGCTTAATTTTATAACTTAACTAAACGACAATGACGTATCGTTGCTAAAGTCAACTGACTAAAACTTTCCTTAAAATAATTTTTGCATGTATCGATGAAAAAAAAATAGTTCTTTTATTTTGCAAATTTTTTATCATCACGCTAGCAGATAAGAAAGAATGTAAAGAAATGAATGAGGAAACTATGCACATTTAACTTTTTAGCATGCAAATTTAATTAATTTCCTAAATTACGACTAATTTAATAAATTGAATCGTTTATAAATGTATTACTAGCACGGAATCGCACGCACATTGTCAAATTAATTAGCTAAAAATTGCATGTGAAAAATTCAAATTTAAAGGAGGAAATTTGACTGAAATGATTATTTTTAGCAACAAAAATAGGTTAGAAAAAATTAAATTAAAATAAAAACTATATCAGTAATTGCAATTTGAAATAAAAAAAACTTAATCTATTTGATTTATTATTACTCTTATTTTTAAATTGAATATCGTAGAATACAATGATACCAAATATTGAGTCTAAAATATTTATTTGTTGAACTGGATAAATGATGAATTGTGTTTGATAGAATGCATCCCTTAGTTTTTTTTTAACCAAAAGTTGAGTTAACAAAATTCAAATTCAAGAGGGAAAATTCACTTTCTCACTACTCACCTTTTCTTAGTTAGGATTTTGGAATTTCGATTTAAAAAAATGGTTTCAAATTAGCTTAAATTTTGCCTATTTAAGTGATTTGCTACTTTCTTTTTTAAATTTGAAAAATTTTTCCGAAATGTTTTAAAAAAAAATTTTTCAAAAATATATATTAATTGTAGCATTGTTTGCAACAAAGTTATTCCATCATTTACATACTTTCATACATTTATCACTGAAATATGAACCATTTTTATGCATTTGGATAAAAGTAACTATTGAATAAATTAATTAAATTAAATTTCTCAAAATTCCATTCCTTCTTTCTAACTGCCCCTCTTATTGTCATAACAATTAAAAGAAACAATCCTTTGTTGATTTATGACAATCATTTGCAAATAATTGGAAGTTATTATGCATCAAATGCAAAAGTTTTATTTATGAAATCATATTTTCATATAAAAAATTACTAAATTAAAACAAAAAGTGGTTTTCGACGGAAAAAAAATTCCATCCAATAGAAAAAATCCGTTTAAAATTCTTTAACATTTGGCAGTAAATTATGAATTATGACCAATATTAAATTAAAATTGTAAACTGTTACTCAATTTCAATCCCTCCTCTCTGCTCTCATATGTTAAAAATTCTGATTTATGTAAAAAATAATGAAAAAATGTAGCTGGAAGTTGAAATTTAAAAATTATTCTTTTTTTTTCCACTTTATACGATCTAACAAATAAAATGAAAACAATAAAAATAAAAAGTCAAACTTTTTTCTTCAAAATTTTATTTTTACAAAATATTAATTTAATTTTTCACCATTCCTAACAAATACTTTGTACAATTAGCATTGCTTGTTTGTTTGTTTTGTTTGCTTGCTTGCTTGTTTATTTGCTTATTTGTTTGTTTCCTCTAATATTTTAAATTAATACTTAATTTAAATTATTCTTACCATATATTTAAAAATTCGCATTTTTTGGTTTTCATTTTTCAAATGAAAAATAGGCAAAGCAAAAAATTTAGCAATACTTCCTCTTTTCCTTTTTTCTCTCCTTTTGTGATATATTATCATTTCCTCTTATCATTATAACTATGTA